GCTGACTGGAAACAAATAAGGTCCCTTTAATATTGATCAGGAGTTTTATGATTAACTACAGAAGTGAAGATGACTAATCAGAAAGAAACATCATGTTCCCAAAAAGCAGCAGATCTTCACAAAGAGAAGAGAGAGACTGAATAATTATTTAGGTGGGTGAGCAATTCATTAGAAAAAGTTCAACATCAGTATGTCTAATGTGATATCAATTATCTAAAATCAAAAGAAGCTAAAATATCCTAAAATGCTTATCAGAGAAACTGTAATTTCAAGGTCATTCCACAAGTCTGTATGCCTACACTAATTTGGTTGGGTTACTGAAATTCTACATCCCCTGAAGTTGTTCCAGTTCTACACATATTTATGACATTTCACATATACAACTACAATAACAAAATCTCCAAGAAAATGAAAGGAAAAAATAGCAAATCTACTTTAAGGAAACCCTATTAAACTTGAACCATTATGTCAAAATGGGAAAGAAAGACCTATGTAAGCAAAACACATCTAATTCACCCTTCAAGAATAAATTTTTTGGGGGTGGGAGACAGGGGTGGGGAGGAGGGGCAGGAGGAGGGAAAAAAAATACTGAAAGAAAATCAGTATTTTGTATGATAGATTTTCAGTTATGCAGAATCAGAAGATCCTGTCTTCTTTTAAGTACATTTGATGTTCTCAAACTGTATGAGATTTGCCAAAGGCACACTCCGTTCTATGGGACCCATCCAACACATGCAGCAAAGACGCACCAGTTTCAACAGCAGACAGGAAATTTGGTTTCCTGGGACCACCTTTGATTCTCCACCACAAATAACCAAGAAGTTGCTTACAGCTGGCTCAACTGGAAGTGATTTTCTCATTCCAGTGGGTCTGGTGACACCTTGTTTTCGTACTACAGCCCTGGGCAAAACTTCAACCCACTACTACTCTAAAATACTCAATTTTATGACAGTAAGAAAGAATGCTACAACTTTCCATCATGCTAGTTGTAATGAAATTTTACCAAGCAAAATCATAAACTTTCCATTTTCTTCTTCCACTCAGCTCTCCCCTTCTTCTGTCAAAAGTGTACTGATAAGAAGCCATACCTGTGAGAAGAATACTTTTCTTTTATTGAAGAAATAATGAAGTTTTCTACTTTTTGATCAGTCTCTGTCACTAGATCTACTGGTGAACTTTTAGTCATTACAGATATTTCTTCTTTGAGTGCTCCACGGATTATCTGTTAGAAAAAAAAAATCTTTCTTAATTAATGGTACAGAATATAGTAGTTTTTCCAAAAAAATGGGCATGATTTTTACAGTCATTTTCTATACTGCACACACGAAACACAAACAGAGGCAGTGACAAAACCTGGATTTAAGTGCAGGAGCTGGGACTGCCCTTGCATCTCCAGTCCCTTCTGAGCACAAAAACTTTCACATGACCTTAAATCTAAGTAATACAAGAAGATCCACTGGTACATGAAACTGGGGTCTATTTTGTTAGGACAAGTTTTAGATTCATTAACACCAGATTGAAGAAAACACCTAAGACTGAGCTCAAGACAGCTATTTTTAGCCAGACCCTGAATTTATGAGCTCAAAACTATCACAATCAGCTTAAGCAAGAATCCATGCCTTGCAGCCCACATAATTAACTATAACTCAGAAAGAATTTCTGAGGGAAGACTTTAATGAGGTCATTGCAATGCTCTGCACCTCCAGGAGACAGGATTAGTACATGTGCCATCTTGTCTGGCTGCCACAGCATTCAAATGTAGCAAGCAGAACCATCAAGAACTGAGTATTTAGTAACCACTAGTGCTGACGATCTGCCAAGATGCACAAACT